GAAAGTGGTGTTGGACATTGCTGCACTTAAGTACTTAAACAGTAGATGTGGGACCTTCTAGAGCACTCTCCCTCTGCCACATTGACCTGCAGTGTTGGAGATGGTGGCTGCTCCTTCAGCCTCGGTCCAGGGTGAAGAGACACAGTCCAGGGCACCAGCTAACCCACGTGTAGTGTGGCAAGAAGAAAACCTTTAATTATAACCAACACATGACCTATCCCATTCTGACCAACAGAGGACAGCTTCTGATTGGCTGTGTAATCAGTCCACTTACTTGATGCTACAAACAAGCCTCATTATGGACAGCCCAGTTTCCCAAGAATACAGTCAGATCTACCTTCTGATCCAATCCAACTCTTCCTGCTCTCAAGGATAATGAGGCAATAATGATGTTCCTTTGTCTTGAATCCAGGCCAGGTGGAAGGCTCACTCCTCACCCCCTCAATATGCCCTAGAAAAGTCCATTCCTACCTAAGTTCCTCTAGCAGCATGAAGCATCAGGGGAGCTGAGTCTTAATCTTTTAATTTGTAGTGGAAACTGTTTCTTCTCAGAGAAGCGGTTGCTTTGGTGACACAGGTAACACAGTAAATCCACCAGAAACCTCTGCCAGGGGTCAGTGTATGGGTTGGTCCCAGGGGCCAAGTGAGCCCTGCAGGGAAGGAGCAGGCAGCAGCACTGGGGGTGCTTTGAGGTGGGCGCAGATAAAGTCAGAGCCCAGAGGCCTGGCATGGCGAGACACTGCTAGGTCTGGCTGGTTAACAGGGCACCCAGGGCTGGCAGGGGTAGGGATGGGCAGCAGCTGTTAATCAGGGAGGCTGGGCCGCTGGATGAGTCAGATGCAGCACAGTGGCTGCTCAGGGTATTTCACAGCAAGGGCCTAGGGTTTCTGGCAGCAGAGACTTTGCCTCTTAGACGTGTATAGTTGAGGGTGGGGTGTCCCCTAGAGGGTGTAGAGATAGGAAGGTGGTGGGCATTGGGTGGAGCAAGCCATGAGCAAGGGAGAAGCAGGTGTGGTGGTGGGGCAAAAAGGGAACTGAGAGTGGCCACAGGGAGGTGGAGCCTTGGGGGGTCCTGCCTTGCCAGGGCCATGCCTTTGAGGACCGTAATGACTACTAGGTCACTGATTGCAGACAAGGAGGGGTCCTCTGGGTGGGGCAGCTAGGGAACATGGGCCTGAGGGGAGGATCCTCTGCATTCACTTAGTTTGCCCCAAGTTAGGTTTTTGTTTGTTTTTGTTTTGTTTTGTTTTTGAGATGGAGTCTCGCTCTGTCACCCAGGCTGGTGTGCAATGGTGCAATCTCTGCTCACTGCAACCTCCGCCTCCTGGGCTCAAGCGATTCTCCTGCCTCAGCCTCCCAAGTAACTGGGATTACAGGCACGCGTTGCCACGGCCAGCTAATTTTTTTGTATTTTTAGTAGAGATGGGGTTTCACCGTGTTGGCCAGGCTGGTCTCAAACTCCTGACCTCAGGTGATTCACCCACCTCGGCCTCCCAAACTGCTGGGATTGTAGGCTTGAGCCACCACGCCCGGCCAGGTTTGTTTAACTTAAATGCTTAGCCTGTCCAGAGAGCATTGCACCTCCACCGCATAGAGCAAGCTGGCTCACGTCATCCCTTCTGCTTAGAGCATGTGTGCTGCATCTGTGTCCTGCACTTCAGGAGGGATGAGTGGCCCTCTGGCTGGTTGGGGGTTCGGGCGGTGACCCACCTGAGGCTGCCTGCCCTCCCCTGGCGCACCACGAGAGAAAAGGAAGACAGGGTGTCTCATTGGACTTTCTTGCTAAAGTTTTGGAAAGAAAATGTCCAGAACAAAGGTCAGCACCTCTGAGAAAACAGTCCATGCAGTTTCAACCAGATTGGCCTTAGGAATTAGGCCCAATTGGAGGTGGAAGCAGCTCGTCCCTCATCTGTTCTCCACTTGCTGCCCCTTGGTCCTGACACTGTCCTCTTGCTCCCGGCTCCATGGGACTGCTCCTTCTCAGAGCCCTTGGAGGAGTCCTCGGAGGTCCTCCCCTGCCCACTCCTTAGGGGCTGGACTTTCCCTTGCCTCTTCCCTCCCTTCTTGGCTGATTCCTTGAGGGTCACCTGTTTCCAGAGCCCAGGTATCTCCTGATCTCTGACCACAGGTATTTGATTGACAACTCTACATCTTCCTCTAGAAGTTCATTACTCCTCTTCCTCCCCCTTCCCCATATACAGCTCTGTCTCCTGAGTGTTCTGGGCCTTGGAACTCCTCCATACCCTGTCTCTTCTTCCCAGCCCACAATTCTTCCCCCCTCCCCCCCAGCCTCCTGGATCCATTCCCACAGCCATATCCCAATTCAGGGCTTGCCCTCTCCAACCTAGACACTGCCACAGATTCCACCTGGTCTCTCTCCCCCGGCCCACCTGGCAACTGGTGGGATCTTCCTAAATTAAACATCAGACCACATTGCTTCCTGTGGCCCTTCGGTAGCGCCTGCTGACTCAAGAGGTTGCCCAGGCACCTGGGCAGGGAAAGGCAGGCTGTACCCAGTGTCCTGATTGCTCTGTCTCCTCTTGTTCCTGGAGCTCCAAGGGCCCTGACCCGAGCAGTCCCCCACTCTTCCCTTCCAGGCCTCCACACTTCTGTTTGGGCTATTCCCTGATGACCCTCATCTGTGTGAAGGAATGTGGCCTCAGCAGAGGAGCTCAGGGTTCAAGATTCACAGAGAAGATCCCTCCTTCAAAATTTAGCCAGCCCATCCATGGCTCCAGGGATAACTAGAGGACCTTAGGCTCAGGGCAAACAGGCCCTTTCTCTCTTGACAGCTGAGTGTTTCTGTGCATGTATTGCTCAAGCTTGCAGTCTGCATACTAGAAAGGTAGGTAACCAGCCCCTGATAGATCTGACACCTTCAGATCTATCAAGCTAGAAACAGAACTGAGAGACAGGAGGCTCAAGCTATGTCAGCAAATTCATCCTTCAAAGCAGGAGGGACAGCCTTGTGTGTGTGGATCTGTGGGTTGTCTCTGCAGGACCAGGGACCCTGCCCATGTGGAACCCTGGGGTTAGGGGGTAAGGTGCTCCCCCACCCACCCCAACTTCCAGTCCCAGGGAATGAGCATTCTATTTTCTAACTCTGAGGCCAGACTAGGAGACCAAAGCCTGTGCCCCCAACTCCCCGTGTAAGCACTCAGAATTTTATTCCATCACTTGACCCTAGCTGTGTATAGAGTAGGTAGATAATAGGAATCCCTGCCAACTGAGGACAAGTGGCAGCCCTGCCCCCTGCTGACCTGAAGCTGCAGCCAGAATGGGCTCATCTGAGGCCACCTGCTTGGGACCTCAAACTCATTCCCTCCCTCCCTTCCTTTCTCATTCCCTGCTGAAGCGGGACAAAGCTATGAGCCAGACCACGGCAAAGACAAGAGGGAGACTGGAAATGAGCATCAGAAAGGCAAGAGTATCGCTTTCGGCCTTTTGGCTAAGATCAAGTGTAGAAAGGCAGGAGTAACGGAGCTCCTCTTGGGGACATCAGAGAAGACATCGCCTAGCACATACCTCACAGAATGTGCTTTTCACACTGGGGGTGCATCTACACTGCACAACTACCCCAAATAGGTACAGCTGGTCCCACTTACAGATAAGGAAACAGAGACTCAGAGAGGTAAATGGCGGTCACTGAGAGGTGCAGCCAAGTCACCTGACTCCAATTTCCTTTTTCTCTCTACTTTTCTTGCCAAGGCTGAATATAAGTGATATGCAAACATATCCAGAAATACGTAAATGAACACCATCCAGAACCACCCTTACTTCCAGGACAAGTTCCTGGGGAAGAATAACATTCCTTACACTGTCCCTCTTGTCCTTCTCCCTCGATTCCCACAAAACAGGACTGTTGCCTCTTTTTTCAGTCCCCTGCAGGTAACATTTGTTACCCACCCCCCACTGAGCCCTTGGTGAAAACTCCAATGGTCTCCTTCTTCCCTCCCTGTGAGCTGCTGGTCTCATCTATTTCCCCTTTCGTTCTTCCATCCAGTAACCACAACCTTGGATTCCCAAATCTCCCTGCCCCCAGCCTGGTGACCACACTGACAACCCTGAAAACACTTACTTTGTCAATATTTGGGAAAGAGTGGGTTCTTACAATGGTCTTGTTCTGGCTCCTGGTCTGAGGTTTCTGACTGTCAGGAGTGACTAGCTTCCGCTTTTATTCCTGAGACTGGCCCAGTAGTCTGAATTACTTCTTTGGGATGGATTCAAGAGTAGAATTACTCAGTAAACTTTAAAACTTCTGATACATACTGCCAAACTACTTTCTACCAAAGTTCTGTCAATTTACTGATTGTTTGAGAATACGTGTTTCACAACATCCTTACCAACTCTGGGTTTTAACATTAAAAAATGTGTTTTTAGCACTTTCGGAGGTCAAGGCGGGCAAATCACTTGAACCCAGGAGTTGGAGACTAGCTAAGGCAACATGGCAAAACCCAGTCTCTGCAAAAAATACAAACATTAGCCAGGTGTGTTGGTGTGTACTTGTAGTCCCAGCTACTCAGGAGGTTGAGGTGAGAAGAACGCTTGAGCCCAGGAGGTAGAGGTTGCAGTGAGCTGAGATCGCACCACTGCACTCCAGTCCCAGAGACAGTAAGACCGGTCTCAAAAGAAAAAATGTTTTTGATAGTTTAGTGGAAGCGGTATCTGGTTACATTTTTCAGGGTGCTTAATTTGTGTTCCTTTACTTTTATGAAGTGCTGCTTCAAATATTTTTCCCATATATTGAAGGAGTTAGTATTTTCTCCATAGATTGGGTGTATTGTACTCCACTTGAGGTCAGGATGGGACCCAGATGGCCAGCTCCAGATTGCTCACCCAGAGCTGTGGTTTTCAAACATTTTAACAAGCAGGAGAGCCTTTTCTTAATCTCACAGAGTATCTCCATAAAAACACTAACAAGTAGCCCATGAGGAAAGGCTTGGAGCACCCCCTTACCCACTCCCACCCCACCCCTCTGGTTCCAGAAGCCTTGGTTTTACCTGAGAAGGAGCCACTGGGACTTTGCTGTCCTTGTCTCTGAAAAGCTGTCACCACAGACCTGAAAGGAGATGGGCAGTTCACAGAGGTGCCTGGAACAATCTCGGGAACTCGCCCAACAGCCACCAAGCAGCCCAGAACAGGTGAGCCAGGTACAAAGACCAAGGGGCCCCACCTTCGGCCAGAGGCACTGCCACACCCTCCACGTTGCCAGGGTGAGGGTGTGTGCCTGGCAGTTCCAGCGGACGAAGTGCAGCCGCAGTGGGCGGGGCCCGAGGTTTGTGTGAGGATTTTCAGGGAGGAGGGTTGCCAAGAGGGGAGGACTTCAAGGATGGGATGGATGATCTCTCCACGTGGACACTGGGACACAGGCCGGGCTCAGGGGGTGCGGGGTGAAGGTGGAGGGTGGGAAAAAGGTGAATTCAAAAACTCCAGCCGCAGGGCCCAGGTTTAATCTGATGGGAGAACCAGAATAATCAGAGCTTTAGGAGCTTTGTGCTATCTTGCTTCTCTAAGATACCTGAGGGTAGGAGAGAGCTGAACTCAGGCCAGGGAAGAGGGACAGTGGCCACTGGGATGGAGTGGATGAGGGGACGAAGAACAACACTGAGGAGAACCAGAGGGATCTGGTGGCAGATAAGGGGGAGGGCAGGCAGGCCAGTGGAAGGGAGGCTCAGCAGGACACCTTGTGAACCCAATGGGGTCTTCAGAGGGAACAGCTGGGAGGGAACTCATGTGACCCTAGGCCTTTGGACACAATGTCAGTGGCTCCCCGCACCCCTTGCTGACCGACGTGAGGGATCCTGGCACTATGCTCTGGGGACGCTACCCTCCACACTTGGGCCCCAGTCCCAGTTTGTAGTCCCCGCCCTTGCCCGCTAGTCCCGCCTCTGGCCTCAGCCCAGGCCTCCTCCTACCAACCTGCCAAATCCTTGGCTCCAGGGCCCGCCCCCCACCCCGTCTCAGGCCCAGTCTCTGCTTTCAAGTTCAGCATTCCCAGCCCAATGCCCAGCGCAGCCACAGCTGTCCTTGTTCGCTCCACCTTAAGCCAGTCCCATGGCCCAGCCCAAAACCCTCTTACCACCCCTTCATCCGGAGTAGGATGACCCATCACTCTTCATAGCTCATCCCTTATGTACGCTTACTATGCAAATCACCCAAACTAAGTGTTTCAGAAGAATATGAAAGCTGAGGCCCAGTCCATTCTCTGTCCCCTAGCTGAAGATGTTGCAGCCGTGCTGGCAGGAGTGTCTCCTCCATGGCAAATAATTGGCTCCCTTCTGACTATGAATTTGCACAGAAAAGGTTTGGGCTCCAGTGAGACCCCATTCTGGTCTAGGCCATTGATCTTGGGCAAGTCATTTAGCCTCTGAGCCTCAGAGGCTCCCTCTTCTGTAACACTAGGGGCCACTACAAGATCTTGGATGGCCATGGCCAGTACCAAATGAGCACCGGCACTGGAGGTTGCCAGATCAGAGTGGGAAGAAGGAAGCCAGAGCCCCGCAGATCCACGCTCTGCACATGGTCACCTGGGTTCCCTAGGAACCCTTATGTCCACATGGATACCCTGGCTTTTGCCCTCTGAGCTAAGTACCTGGCAAGCACCCCTCCCCAGCCTGGGGAGTCCAGCCTGCCGGGAAGCAGAGGGTGACCTGCTGTCCTGGCCTGTCCTCTGTCCTTGGGACTCCTGCCACTTCACCCACAGTTGGCTGACAACCTGCATGCACCTCTGTCCTTCACCCTCTTGCTGGGCTGACCTGACCCAGACCACAGGCTCTCAAGCATCTGGCATTGGACATAAAGGAGGCAGGGCACTCCTGAGCCATTTGGGCCTGTGTGACTCCCAGCCCTTACTGCCCTCTCTGTCAGTGGGGAGGAGCTCACCTCTCATCCCTCAGTGAGAAGTTTGTCAAGAAGGATCTTTGGTCTCCAACATTTCCCAAACTGTCCCCCACCAGCTGCACAGCTGCACGCCCCCCTCCCTACCCTCCACCCCCACTCCCATGCCCCACCGACTCTTCTGAAAAATCTCTGCATGGTTTTTTTTTTTTTTTTTTCCGCAATAGAATTAAATGACAAGAACTGGCTATTTAGGGAGGGGTTCCTGAAGGGAGATGGAATCTCGACAACCTTGAAATTATAGGCCCTTGTCTTTTCTCAAAAGAAAAGAGAAACATGTCATATCATTGATATTCTGAGCCAGGCCTTGTTTTGAAATATGGTCTTCCCCTATCCTTTCACAAACCACAGACTTTTTCCCTCTTTGAAAATAAGATCACATCAAGTCAGGGATTAGAAATGGGAAAAATTCAATCAGAGCCTCCCTCTGCCAGCTACCCATCTCAATATACTCCCAGGCGAGCGGAATCCGCTCCTGCTCCAACCCTGCTCAGCATCATTATTCAAAACGCACCGGTAGGAAAGGGTGAAACAGAAGAACCTTTCATCCCCGGCTGAGCGGGGCCTGCAGTGCTTCTCTCCTGGCTCCGGCAGCTGGCTTGTGCCTGGGCCGAGTCAGGCCTCTGGCTTAAATAGGCAGTGGTAGCAGAGCAGGGAGGGCCCGGGGGGCGGGTGTGGAAAGTGGGCCATTTACCCAGCACAGCAAGGCAGTGTCTTCGGAGCCAACAGTGGTCCCAAGTACGTACCCGCCTGCCTGCCTGCCTGTCTACCAGGAGGCCTCAAGCCCACAGGCCTCAAGACCGCAGACCGGCACCTGGGGTGACCCCTGATGGATGTGCAGCTCCAAGGGAGACTACGTCCCTGGATGCACTGAGCTTGGTCAGGTTCTTGGATACCTCCACCTCTCCTGTGTAGCAGAACCAGCTGTGATGGATGGACCTGTTCCCCAGGGCCTCTCTCTAAGCCTTGGTTTCTGCCTTCTTAAAATGAGGATAACACTGACTTCACAGGTCCAGAAATAATGTTTGTAAAGGGCTTGGCACCTAGGAGGTTGATTTATTTACCCACATGGTGATACTGGGGCCAGGTACCTTCGATGAGACTTGAGCCTACAGGTTTAGTAATGTACCCAAAGCGGCACAGCCTTCCATCTGTCAGTGTCAGACTACATGCAGACCTGGAACCTTGCAGCCTCATTCTACAGTTGAAGTTTAGGGTGAGTGAAGGTGAAGAGCAGCTGCTCACCTTGGGGAAAATCTTGACTGAAACCTAGTGAAAGTTACCTTTAAGCCCCCAGTGTTACGGGAAAGGGGTCCTGATCCAGAAAAGGAAAGAATTCAGGGTGAATCCACAGAGTAAAATGAAAGCAAGTTCATTATAGAAGAAACAAAAGAATGGCTACTTCATAAACAGAGCAGCCCTGAGGGTGCTGGTTGGCTAGTTTTATGGTTATTTCTTGATCATGTCCTAAATGAGGGGTGGATTATTTATGAGTTTTACAGGAAAGGGGTGGGCAATCCCTGAAATTGAGGGTTCCTCTCCTTTTTAGACCATATAAAACCAAGAATGACTTCTGGAACATTGCCCTGGCATTTGTAAAACTTCATGGCGCTGGTGGGAGTATCTTTGGCATGCTAATACATTATAATTAGCATATAATGAACAGTGAGGACAACCAGAGGTCGTTTTGGTCACCATCTTGCTTTTGGCAGGTTTTAACTAGCTTCTTTACTGCATCCTGTTTTATCGGCGGAGTCTTTGTGACCTGTATCTTGTGCTGACCTCCTATCTCATCCTATGACTAAGAATGTCTAACCTAGGCTGGATGTGATGGCCACCACTTGTAATTCCAGCACTTTGGGAGGCTGAGGCGGGCAGATCTCTTGAGCTCAGGAGTTTGAGACCAGCCTGGGCAACATGGTGAAACCCTGTCTCTAAAAACTATACACACACTAGCTGAGTGTGGGCATGCTTGTAGTCCCAGCTGCTTGGGAGGCTGAAGTGGAAGATCGCTTGAGCCCAGGAGGTTGAGGCTACAGTGAGCTGTGATGGCACCACTGCATTCCAGCCTGGGTGACAACGTGAGACCCTATGTCAAAATAAACAAAGATTCAGAATGCCTAACCCTCTGGGAATGCAGCCCAGCACATCTCAGCCTCATTTTAACCAGCATCTTTTCAAGATGGAGTTGTTCTTGTTCAAACACCTCTGACACCAATACCAAGGCAAGGGAGGGTGGCATGGTTAGACAGGTATGGTCAGGCAGCCTGTCTGCATTTGGGTGAGACTCTGGGGGAGAGGTGCAGAAGTATCTCAGAGTAGCTGCTAGGGATGGCTGGTGAGAGGAGCTGCCCCTCAAACCTGCTAGGTCTCCGAGTAACACTACAGGGAGGTGAATGTCTCACCTGGTTGGTTCAAATTGATCTTCCAGTGAGTGGGACAGTGCCCCCACCTCAGTGAACAAAGATTAGGACATCAGCTAATGGAGAATTAAGACAAAGAGTAGTTCCTTTGTCATTTTATGCTTGAAAAAGTTCTGCCTTTTAAAGTGCAAATAAATCTGCTAGTAAATAATTGAAGTCAAATGATCGAATTGTCTTAAACAGGAAAAGTACACATTTTTGTTTTGATGAATAAAATGTTAACTCCTCATTTCTCCCAAAGCAGCAGCAAAACAGAGGGCCTGGATCTCTGTTAGTTGGACTCAGAAGGGAAATCAACTTGACTATAAATACCGATGAAGTTATGATTACATGTGAAGCCCATTCATATGCCAGTCATTAATTGTTGTGTATATTGTGGACCTGACACCCTTTCGGAAGTTTGGATTACAAAGGTGGGAGACGCACTTAGAAAGATTGTGCACTTCAGGGTCCAATCTAAGTTCAAATCTGGCCCTGGGCAACACTGGGCCTTCATTTAGCCTCTCTGAGCCTTGGGTTTCTACTACTTTGCAAGGTTGTTGGCAGAATTAGATGAGATGATATTGGTGAAAACTCTCTGTAGGCATTCAGTGATCAGTTATCCATTTGGAAAGATAATTCCACAGGAAGCATGGGATGGGCAGGAGGGGAGACAAGCAGGAAGGCCAGGGCAGTAGCCAAAGCAGGGAGGTGGCAGAACCAAGGAAAAGAGAGGGGTCACGTATCTGGGGGACATCTG